AGGACCCGCAAAAGGCCCGGCAGAAACAATAGTAGGATCAGCACGACCAGCAGAAGGGTCAACAGAGCAATCAGCAGCACGACCAGCGGAAGGACGAGCAGCAGGACCAGGAGAAGGAAGACCAGCTGAAAAAGCAGCGGAGGGACCAGCGGACGGACCAGCAGGACCAGCAGAAGGACCATTAGGAGCACCAGCAGAAGGATAAGCAGACGGATCTGCAGAAGGATAAGCAGACGGACCTGCAGAAGGACCAGGAGGACCAGCAGAAGCACCAGAAGAAGGGCCCGCAAAAGGACCGGCAGAAACAATAGTGGGATCAGCACGACCAGCAGAAGGGTCAACAGAGCAATCAGCAGCACGACCAGCGGAAGGACCAACAGAACGAACAGCAGGAGGACCAGAGGGAGTACCGATGAAAGAACCAGCAGATAGACTAGCAGAAGGACCAACACCAACACCAGCAGAAGCGCCGGCAGAAGCTCTGGCAGGACCCGCAAGAGGACTGGCAAAAGGATCGATAGAAAGACAAGCAGAAGGACCACCGGAAGGACCTGTGGTAGGACCAGTGGTAGGACAAGCACAACGACCAGCAGAAGGACTAGCGGAAGGACTTGCAGAAACGCCAGCAGGAGGATCAGCAGGAGGACCAAAGGGAGTACCAGTGAAAGAACCAGCCAAACCGTCAGGAGCAGAAGGACAAGTCAGATGATCCGCAGATGATTTGACATCAGCAGCTGTTGTTAGATCGATCACAGAAACAGACTCTGTTGCAACAGCACCGATAGTTGACTTGGTTGCAGAAATGTCATGACTGGCAGCTAAAGTGGCTACAAAGACCTCAGCCGAACTACCACTGTCATCAAGATCTATCCAAACTCCTGAGGGGAATTTCTTCTTCCTTGATTGCAATAGGGACTGACTGTTGTTGGTTGACCTTTCCATGGGAGAGGAGTAAGAAATCCCCATGCGTGCACGTTTTACATCCTTCTCCCGTCGCATGATACGGTCATGAGGATGCCCCTTCCTGGCTTTTGCTTTCAGATCAAGGTCCGCATCTTCACGAACGAGACGACGCCCTGTCGACGAAACTGACATGGAGGAGGTCAGGTCAACTTCTCCCTTACTGTGTCGAGGAATCGCGGCTCGTGGCCGAGGATGGATGTTCACATGGGACCTCACAACGGCCTCCTTGTTGTACTCCTTATCGCTGCTGCTGGAGGAGGAGGTGCTCGACAACGACTGGCAAGCGGTGGCCGGACCCTTGGAGACCGATTCCGTTCTACCKGAGCGATCAGGCCTCGTCTCTCTGGGTGATTGTCCCTCCCTAGGGGAACGACTGGCCACACCACCTCTGGGCAAACTGATGGTTGGCGACTTCAGACTGAGAGTCGAACGGCATTGACGCCTCTCAAGGTCATCCAACGAGTTCCTTTCTGCTTCTTCTTCTTCTTCCTGTTCACGCAGTTTCGTCAAGCGCCTCAATCTCTGTGGTCGATTTTCCGTCCGCTCATCGCAGTTCGAGTTTTGTTCCCGACATCTCAATCCAGATTGCAGTCCGACACTGGGCATGCTCTCCTCCTTAGTGGGGGGGATCGGTCGTCTTTGCCCATTGCAAGTACCTTTGTGCGGCCGTGACTTGTCGGTTTCGCAGGAGGGTCTGTCCGAATGACCACTGCTCGCAGTCTCTCTGCTATCGGAGTCACTGAGCCACGTGGAAGACTCCCGGGACACCGTGCTACATCGGGACTCCGAACTGCCGCTGCTCTCACTACTGCTGCTACAGGAATGCGCTGCGTGGCGAGGGTTTGTGCGCCGGCGAAACTCTTTCATGAGCTTTGCATCATCATTCTGAAAGCCCTCGACAACAGAGCCCCCCTTGCGAGGGCCTCGACTTGTCGTTTTAGACTTCTGACTCACCCCATTCCTTATCGTTGGGACACGATGCCTTGCTGATCCTCCATGTTCGTCCCTGGCATGCTCCGTTCCCTTCTCCTTTTGCCGCACCCTTTCAAACTCCCCACTCAGCTTTCCCATTTTGCCCCTTCTGGTCTCATAACAACCATCATCCACAAAGGGTGAAGGTGTCCTTCTCCGAGGCTCCCGTTCCGTAAGCAGGGATTTCTTAGGATTACGGCTACTCGAGGATGGAGAGGGATTCGATGACCTTGCGCCCTCGCTGCAACCATTCCTTAGCCCTCTCTCTCGCCTCACTGCATCGATCTGCTTCTCGACTTTGTCCAGCCAGCTTCCTCCTGACGAATACTTCGCCATTTTCTCTTTTCCCATTTTCTCCATCCTTGATTCCCTCCAATTTCYTTACTTCCTGCGAACTCAACTCGTCGTCAGAAAGGCAGGCTGAGAAGCAGTGTGTTTATTATGCCATTCATTTCTCCCATCTCCGAACCCTAGCAAAAAAATTGCAACAACAAGCCATGCGGCGGCAAATCAGCATTGCAGCAACCCAAAAGATAGATTCCTTCCAATTTTTTGCTGCTTGCTGTGAACTCAAGCGGTCAGAAAGCCAGGCGGAGGAGTGCGTTTAAGCCGTTCATTTCTCTCCCCCCCCCCCCTCTATTGTAAGAAAAGCAGTGCCGTTCATTTCGCCCATCTCTGACCCCCTGATAAGTTAATTTGCATTGAGGCAACAGAGGCGTTTGGGTTGCTGCAAAATGTTGCCATGAGGCAAGCCAACATTGCAGGAACCCAAAAGACAGACCCCCAAGCAGGCCGGAGGAAAACGCTCTTGGGAGCCTCACGATGTATCATCATTATCATTATTACCATTCAGATCGGAAATCGTATACAAAAATAACACAACAGAACCAATTTGATAATACGCTTCTTTTTCCTTACACACAACAGAGAGTCTTTTGACTCGTTGGACAATACGTACTGGACTTATTCATCATCTGTCGTTCAGGGCAGTTTGCCAGGACCTTGCTCTACGTCCTTCCTTATTTTTACCCCCCTCCAACCTTTTGGTTGCTGTCCCCCCCCGCTTTTGGTGTGGGCTTCAGAGTCTTCACTCAACCGCGCTTTCTCTCACTCTGTCATGGGGAGGAAGCGATGCTCAATCTGCACGAAGAAAAGCAGGACGTGGGGAAGAATAAATATGACAAAAGTTTGGCAGCATAAAAGTATTTTGGGCAGTTTAAGAAGAGCAGATAACCGCAAAGGTGAGCGGAGACATGGATAGTGCAGACATGGATAGTGCACGAGCGATCAGAGTAACACCCTGCCTTCATAGAAAATCAGTGCTTGCAACAGTCCCCAGCAACACCCTGTCTTCCTAGCAAATCAGTGCTTGGGACAGTCCCGACAGATGTTCTTCGCTGCACACCGTCAAATGCATCTCGTCTTTAAAATTATTTTAAAAAACTGAAACAAAAAAAAGAAGTTATCCTGAACTTATTCTATTTTCGGTGCAGCTGAGAAATGGCGCCAAGAGGCGGTTTTCTCATTCACATGCCTCGCGCTTTTCCGGCCAATGGGTACCCGAAACCTCAGTGTTTCAATATGCTCATGGGTTTTGATTTGGGAAGAGGCGAGGGTGAGTGGGAGGAAGGGGAAGGGCGGGAGAGGGAGGGCGGGAAAGAGAGGGAGAGAAGGGCGGGGGCGGGGAAGAGAGGGAGGGGGCAGGGAGGGAGAAAGTGGAAGGGAGGGAGGGAAAGGGAGGAAAGGGGGGAAGGGAGGGAGGAGGGGGAGGGAAGGGAAGGGATGGGAAGGGAGGGAAAGGGGGGAGAGAAAAGGGGAGAAGGAGGTCAACTTCTGGACCGAGACAAAACTTCAGGCTGGCTGAAACTCCATCAATCGTCAAGAGAGATCACCAGAAGCGGAGTTATCAGAACCTGTCGACACTCCATCAATCAATCAAACCAATTACTCGACTAATCTAGAATTAATCAGCTCGATTGATTCCCTCCCTCATCGATTAATTGACCCACCGTGCCGTCATTGCAGATCAGCACTGTCCGTGCTCCATACAAATCGCCACCCTGTTAGCTTGAGAAGACTCTGTACAGTGTTACTAACAACTACCGTCTTCGCCCAAATCGAACTTTCAGTCCTTATCGCTTTATCTATAATATATATATGACCACGGGGGTGGGGGCAGCCGCCGCTCAACCTACATCCACGTGGGCGGCCTTGTACGCAAGAGGTTCTGAACAGGGGGAGTTATAAGGAAGAAGATAAAAAACTGAATTCAGTTTTTCTTGTTTTTCTTTCTTTTTTCCTTTTTGTTCTTTTTGTTCGCATTTGCGCTCTGATACTCTTGTGACAAATACATATAGCTATAATGACCGGGCTTTCTATTCGGGTGAAGCTATAATGACTACCATAGGCTTTCCATTCGGTTGAAGACGGTAATTAGTAAGTAATGTGCTCAGGGACATTTTACTATAGCACTTTCAAAGACAACAATGGATGCTCATCCACCTCTCCTCTCTGCCGAGTCTCTCTCTCGTCCGCCTCCATCATTCTCCACCCTCCCTCCGTGTGCCTTCACTCCTCGCTTTCCCCCTCCTCTTTCAACTCTCGTTCTTCACACATTACTCTCCCCTATCCACTTCTATTACCTCTTTTCTCCTTCTCTAGCATGCATTTGCCTGTTCCCTCTTTCTTCAAGTCTCATGCTTCTCTATCCTGCCTTTTCCTCTCTTCCATACTCGTCGGCATTGCTTTCCCCTCCCTTCATCTCCTTCCTGTCCCCTTATCTCCTCGTCCCTTACCGTTCCTCGCATACTCTCCCTCCCATTCTCCCTTCCTCTCTCGTCTCTTGTCCCTCCTTCTATCTTCCTTCTTCTCTCCATCTCTCCCTGCTTCCCTGCCTTCTTCCCTGCCCTCTCCCTCCTCCCATCTTCCTCTCTCTCCCTCCTTTTCTCCCTTCCCTGCTACTTGCCTCCTTTCTCCATTTGCTCATTTCTGACTCCCTTTTCCCTTCCTCCCTTCCCTCTCTCCCAGCCTCGATCCTCTCAATCCGCTCCGCTACCCCACTAACTATCCCCCCCCCAACCCCCCCCCAATCAGATCTCTTACCTCCTATCGTCTTCCCTCTCTGGCCCCCTTTCTTCTTCCTTGAACCCTGATCCTCTTCTCCCTAGTCCTATTTTTCACCTCCTTCCCTTCTTTCCCTCTGCGTTGCTATGTTTCAAGTCGCTAAGCGCCGGAATCGGCGTTCTCTTCCGTATCAACCGCCACCATAATTCGGACCATCTGCTGCTCTTTACATGCACCCACCTGCCTACCTTGATCCATCGATCAATTGGTCGACCAATTCATTTACCGATTAATCGACTGATTAATTAACCTACTGATTGATCTACTCACTGATTGATTGATTGATTGATTGATTGATTGATTGATCGATCTTGATTAACGTCGATACGATTGATCTGCTTGCCACTTGACGGATTTCTTCATTGATGACTCTCTCATCTATCCCCGACACATCATTAATGATTTTCCAAGTTCTTTTTGCGCGAAGTGTAATGCTCTTCTCTTGATCGCACGTTCTCTGTTCATCTTTGTACGTTTTTCTTTATCCAATTCTACTTCTTCCACCTTGGTTGGTTTCTACTCTTCGAAAGAATCACCGATCATGGCGCGGCGACATGACGTCGCATCCACATCATGAGAATCCCCACGTGAAGAAGATAACGAAGAAGAGCACACGCCGCTCACAAAAGGTGCCAGAGAAGAGAGAGAGAGAGAGAAAGACGACGAGAGAGAGAGAGAGAGTGAGAAAGGAAAGAAGAGTGTGACATGGCGTACGCGTCATACAAGTGGGTCTACGAAAGCGGGGTGCATAACCCGACTCTTCCTCCTCTTTTCTCCTATCTTATACTGCAATACCGGAACCTATTCCCCACTCTCTATTCCTTTCCCCTTCCATCCGCCTCCTCCCCTTCCCCCCCCCCCCCCCCCCCCCCCCCCCCCCCCCCCCCCCCCCCCGCTCTCACCCTTCCTTCAGCAACCTGTAATTGGCTGGTTGAGATTCATTTTACGAATCAAAAAATAAACCGGCGCGGGTTTCGCAAACCCCCTCCCTTTGCAGGTCGCGCAAAAAGAGAGAACGTCGCCAACAATAAGGCAAATTCACGGCAATTACGGAGAAACTTCCAGAAAAGGAAAGTAAAAGAATTTAAGACCGTCAATATGTGCTGAAATAGGCCACACACACACACACACACACACTTTTCGTCCTGCTGTCTCCTCCTGAAGCAGGCAATCATCATAGCCAAATCATCGTCGCAAAGACCCCGGGAATACTAACAATACCACTTTTCCCCCTAAATGTATCTGACCGCAATCATGGCCAGCACTGGATGAATCTGATCGCGATCACGTCTAGAGCTTTAGTAAGAAAAAAGTCCTGCGGCGAGTATGCCCTCAAACACATACATCCTGTCATCTCTTCGTAAACACATTGATCTCATGGACTGACATAACTAGAGCGCGCATTACGCTTTTTTTTTTCTTTTTCTTTTACAAATTTGGACCATTTTAAACGATCGATGCGTGTGACCCTTGAGCAGGGGCCATATGCCATATGCTAATCTTCTCTCTCTGTATCATTCCAGTTTTAACGGATGTCCCAATGAACCCCTCTCCTTCTCTTAGAAAGGAGAAACATCAGATACCAAAAAAATTGCAACATCTAAAAGGCCTGACTCCACTACTCAAACTGCAGCCCGCCATCTCCGCCGCCAAACACGATTCAAAACGGCTCTCCCGTGGCCGCCGCCGCCGCCGCCGCCGCCGCCACCAAGCACCGATTACAGGGCCCGACTCCAGTACTCAACATCCTACATGCATTTGGACGCCTTTTTGGACAAGGTGCTTTCGGACGAATCTAACATTTTAAGTACATGGGAACGATGCTGAGCTCCAGATAGATATAGAGCGTTATCTACCCGTCTTCCCCCGAATACAACGTACGGTCATTATTGCTGTATCTAGACTCCAAGTTGGCCCAAATACAGCTGTAATCACCGTACGTTGTATTGAATACAACGTACGGTCATTATTACTGTATCTAGACTC